GGGCGTGTATGAGAGGCAACGTTTCCCTCTCACATCGACGTTTCTCTCTCTTTCCCGTCCTCCCTTTCTAAAATCAACATATATATAAATAAATTACTTTGCTCATAGAGGTTGGGAGAGTAGATACTTCTTACACTTGCAGAAGTATTCTTCAGTGTCAATGAAACACAAGGCAACCCCGGTGAGGGCTCCTACTTCTGAGTCTTAAGCTCAGAAGTCAGGCAGGACCAGGTGTTTGGGGGCCCACAAAAACGAAAACGCACAGCTCCTTTTTAAAAATCACTAAGAATTTCAACTCAGCAGCATCAGAGCACCAAACCGAGCCCAAGAAGAGCCTTCTCGGTGCAGGAGCGTGGCAAGCTCACTGCCCACAAAGCTTGCTCGGGGCACAAGAGCCCACGAGTTAATGCCACCACCTCCAGGTCTGAGCGGCCTCCCTGCTGAGGAAGCAGGGCCTCCAGCTGAGTGGGCTCTGAACTAGACCGCAGCCTCTAGGAGCTTCCCCGGGGCCCCCCGACGCTGGCTCTGCTCTCCCTCTCTGCGCTGTTCCCAAGACCCACAGACAGGCGGCTGGAAGCTCCCCAGCGGGGAGCTTAGGAGCAGCTTCCAGTGACTTCCTGACTTCCGAGGTCCCCACCGCCAGGGTCCCTCCCCACATGCCAGTAACCAGAGCCATGGGCATGCTGGGAAAACCTCCCCCAGGCCTTTGCCCAGGTACAGAGTCTCTGAGAACCAGAAGCCACACACAACAGAAGACCCTGAGGACATGACCCCTGACCTAGGCAGCTCTGGGGATCAAGGGGAAAGAGGTGGGGGTTTGGGGAGATGTATCCCACCGGATCCTGTGACCTGCAAGCGACAAGCTGCCTGAGAGGGGCAGGCAGGCCACCTTCTGGCGCCAGAAACGAAAAACAGCACAATCAGGCACTGCAGGGTCTGGGCCCGGAGGCATCCAAACGCTCTGCAGGAAGGGGCAGGGCCAAGGTCAGCCCAGAGCCCCCGCCCCCCCCCTCCCGGATTGTGACAGCCACCCCAACACCAGGAGCCACGGCCAGGGGGGAGATGGGCTGCAGAACGGTGTGGCCTGTGGGGACTGGGCCACGGCTATCACTCCCCTGCCCTGGCTGGTGAGGCTGGCAGGGTTTCTTCAGGGAAGAGCCTCCTCCCAATAGAAACAGCCCCAACTGCGCCCAAGCTGTGCAGCCTCTCGCTCCGTGGCCAGCTGGCTCCATGGCACCGAGCTCCACACCACAGGCGGCATCACCACGGAGGAAGGGCAACGTTTGTGCCAGGAACACAACCCCTTAGTGAAAAGCACTTATGGTGCCCGTTTCCCATAAAGCACTGGGCCCCAGGGGTGACCCTGTGTCTCCATGTGGATGGAGAGGTGTGCCCAGCCACCCTCAGACCTGCGGGCACAGCGCGGAGTAGCCAGTGTCATCCCGGCCTCTCACATACCCACCGTTCCCTGTTCCGTCATCCCCAACGCTCACGTCTGTCTCCCAGACGAACAGCTGGCACTGGTCTCACCTGCCTGTTCTCGGGGACCAGTGGGGTCAGCAGGCCCAGGGGCCCCGCCTGCAGGTGGGGGAAGTGCTGGGTGCTGGCAGGAAGGACAGTGAGCGGCCCTCCCATCCCAGGAACCCACAGACCACACTCTGCTTCTCCTGTTCCCACGGAGCATTCGCTACAGCAGGCAAAGCTCTTTAAGACAAGGCGATGATGTCACTATTCTGCTCACCTTCCAGTCCATGATCTCATGGCCTCGCTCCCCAGGCCACCTTCGTGGCTCTGTCCCCCTTGCTCAATGCATCCCAGGCACACGGCGGTGGCACCATCTTCAGACACGCCTGGCACCCCTCGGACCTCTGTGCGTGCCTGGCCGCCCCTCTCCCAGAAGCTCATGGTGCCTCGGCTGGCTTTCTCTTTTCTCAGGTGCAGTGCCTGCCACATAGCAGGTAGTTGGTAATTGTTGAGTTAATCACATGATGCTCTTTCTGTGTCCAGGTTATGAGGCTACGCTCCCAATGTAATGTAACAGGGGCTCACGCAGTCAGCATGCCTAAGGTCACTCAGCTAAAAAGCTGTAGAGCCAGTATTCAGACTTGCCTGTCTGATTTCCAAACTCTTGCTGTTTCCATGACGTCACACTATTTTTCCATGTGAGCAGTGGGAACTGAAGTCAAACAACCTTGATTTGAATTCAATCTACATCACTTAACTATTTTGTGACCTTGAATCTCAGCCTGTTTACACTTCTGAAAAGTATGGATACAACACCTGTGGATAACAAATCCTACATCTACCCGTAGGGATGTTTCATCCCATCAGGTGTGGCCGCAGAGCCTGTGAGATCATAATGCTGTACAGATATCGGGCGATGCTTTAGGTATCAAGAGCCAACTCTTCAACTCCCCTACCCTGAGTAGAGTTTGGCTTCAACTCAGGAGCCAAACGTAGCCTGTCCCCACCACAGTGCCTTGCTCTCCACCAGTGCCCACAGGCTGGAGAAGGTGGACAGGACACCCCCAGCCACAGCCTCCGGACTCCCTCCCGCGCCCTTTGCTGTGAGGGTGGCCGGGCCCCAGACCACAGCCGGCAGGGAGGTGCTCTCTTGCAGGCACAGTGATCCTGTCTGCAGGCCGGCAGTGCAGCGAGCAAAGCAGGCCCAGCGCCGGCACAAAAAGCGGCCGAGCAGCTGAGTGAGGGCGGACAGAGTCGTCCAGACACGCCTGGGGCCCACCTGCCACATGGGCACCTGTTGGACCAATTTGTGCAGTTCAGGGTGAGCACTCACAGGACTTGGGCTGGAATGTGACCAAAAGGGTAACCAAGGAGGACAGCCTGAGGGAGGGGCTGCGTGTCACTACAATTCAGAGGCCAGGACTTCTCCAGGGCCCCAAAGAGGCCAGCTCCTCAGCCAGGAAGCCTTCCAAGGCTGGAGGGACCGAAGGAGAGCACTGGGCCTGGGCCTCCCTCAGCTCTGATCTCCGCGGCCTCCAGCTCCTGTTCGCCCACCCTGTGCTCGCCGGCCCACTCCCTGCGCTGCCTCTGCGCACGCACTTTGCCGACATCAACACGTTCATGGCACAGCCAGTCATCAAGGTCACCAGGCCCTGCCCTCCCCGCTCAGGAAGAAAGCACTGCAGTCAATGACACTGCACCACCACCGCCAAGAGAAAGAGAACACCACGAAAAGCCACTGGCAACTGACCGCCGGCCTTCGCGAGCGCCATGTCTGGAATCACCACCCCTGCTTGTGCCTGTCGGCGCGGGAGCTCTTCTCCGCAGTTCAGACTCGAGTTTGAAGTGCCCTGTGCCCTGAGCCCCACAGGCCCAGCCCGTGGAGGGCCAGGACTCCCTCCTCAAGGGGCAGCTTCGAGATCTGTCATCTCCAAACACAGATCCCTTGGTGGCCTCTGCTACCCGAGAAGATGGAGCTCCTGGTGAGGTGCTGGTAGGACAGTACAGGGCACGTGTCCTAGTCCTCGTGGCACGGCCGAGGCCAGAGGACCACAGGCTCTGAAGGCTGGTCTGGGGCTCCAGAAAGAATTTTTGGAGCTGCTCTTTCACGTCCATAGGACACTGTGGCGGCTGCAGCTCCAGGAGCCTGAGTGTGCTCACGGCTGCCTGGCCCACTTCTCGCCTGGTGAACTCCCCCAAAACCCAGAAGCTTCCTCCCAACAGCTCTGTCAAACTCCCAGCTCCTCCAATCAGTCCCTCCCGGGCCTGTTGGTCCTCCAATCTGCAGAATGCATCTCCTCCAGCCTGAGGCTCCCGGGCACTGTACAGCACCCCGCATCCTTCCTGCTCCGCTTACAGACTGGCCCAGGTCTCCAGAGGGAGATGGTGGGCTCCGTAGAACTACGTCACAGGCCAGCCGCCAGGGCCCTGTCGGCACAGGGACAGGCATGGCGGCTGCACCAGGGAAGGAGGGAGGAAGGGAACTTAGCGCAGATGCTTCTCAGTCTCTCCTGGGCCACCGAAGCCTGTGGGGCCTGCACTCCCTTCCTCTCACGAAGTGCGGTGCCCACTGCTCCTGCCGCTGCCTCAGTTCACTCTCCCCAGCTTTTTGGTTGCTCACAGGCTCTGCATCAGCATTCCTGAGCCCGAGGACATCCACACCGCACCCGTCAACCTCTCCAGACAGCAGCAGCCTCCCGGGAGTGGCACCCCCTCTTTCCCGGGCCTCTCCCCTCCTCCTCACTGGCCCATCCTTCCATTTTCATTCCAAGTTTTGCTCGCACACAGCTTCCTGGCAAAGCCCTGGCTCCACAGCCCGCCCCCAGCTCTGAGGTGTCTCCCCTTCTGTTCTGCTCACTCCACCAGCCGACCTGGGATGCTCCAGGCCACAGAACACTCCTGCCTTTTAGAAGCTGCTGAGAAGGCCGGACCCTCAGATTCCTCACAGTTGAAGTTCTAGCCAATTCTGGGGCTTTCTTCACTCAGGGCCTCAGAGCTTGGGGTTTAAGAGAAACGGCGGGAGGAGACTGCCAGGCGGAGGCGCCGGGGACCCTGGGACCTTGGCGAGGTCTGTCACCCCAGGGCCCGGCGAGCCTCATGCCGGCGGGCAGCTTGGACCGGGCTCGGGGCCTCAGATGCTCAGCTGCCACATCTCCCTCCTTTCCCCGGGGCCCCACCCCCTCCTCCTCCAAAGGTTCTGTATGCGAAGCTGCTGGGCTCCAGGCTGATTCGGAGCATTCACAAGGTGCACAGACAAACCCAGCACCTGCGGGCTGCGCTGCGCCTCTGGTCCAGGGTCTGCAGCTGCCAGCACCGCCTGGCCCGACACACTGGCCTTGAGGGTCGGCGCTGGGCCCAGAGGTGGGGCCGGAGGAAAGGGAGCCGCGGTCCCCAGAGCCTGCAGCACTCGCCGCCCCTCATGCGGTCACGGCATGGCGTGGGCAGTGTTCTCTGGAAGCAGGAAACGGGAGAGGAGCTCCTCTGGGAACGGTGGCCCCACTTTCTGAGGTCAAAGTTCTCTCCCAGCCTGAGGTTCCTGCTCTGAAGAGGAAGAGGTGAGGAGCTTTAATCCACCGGGAAATGCTGAAGGGGGAGCATGAGGAGGACAACTCGGCCAGACAGGCCCCTGCCCCTTCTCCCTTAGGCCAGAGCCGCAGCAGGACAGACACGTGCGCAGGGGAGCGGGGGGGCAGAGGTGGTCTCAGACCACCGTCTCATCAGTGAGGGCATGGCCCCATCCCCCACTCTGCCCCTGGGACCATGAGGTCACCCAGCCAGGTGGGCTCCAGAGAAGGCCCAGTCTCTGGCCCTGGCCCGGGCACCTAACTTAGAGGCTGCAGCTGCCGTGGGGGCTCGGGCGCCTCAGCCCACAGTGATGCTGAAGCCACAGTGGAACCTGTTGCGCCAGTGGTTGAGGAAGGCCCCCAGGGCGAGGGTGACGGGCAGCGGGGGCATCTTCTTCTCCAGCACAGCGCCCACACACCAGTTACTGTCCACCACGCCTGCAGCAGGAGATGCGGGCCAGGTTAGGTACCCGGCTCCCCGCTCCCTACCTGCCCCCATCCCACAACACCTCCGCGTGTGGTCTCAACCATCCTCACCTCTAAACACCATGTTGGCCTGCGGCAGAGTCAGGTGGTAACCAAAGGAGAAGGTTGTGTCTTGTAACCTGGTGTTTGCCTCAAACTCCACACCGACCTGAACCTGAGGATGGGAGAGGGTCTGTCTCTGTAGAGACCTCAGGGTCCTGACGGGCCAGCAGGAGGAGGCACGCGGGAAATGTATCGGAAGCGCAGGCAGGAAGACAGCCGGTCAGCAGGGCTTGTGGAGGCCCAGGGTGGGCAAAAGTTCACGAGTGACATGCAGGTGGGGGTGGGATCAGTCGTCTCACCTGCTCGTTTGCCCTGTGGTAATAACTGGCATGGGCCCCACCTGATCCCACATTCAACGTAGCTACCCAGTGCACAGCTGTGAAAAGCAGAGGCGAGGACAGGAGCATCACTGCTGGGACACAGGCCAGGGACCCAGCCAAGTCCAGAATTCCCCTCCCTCTCGCCCTCTCATCATACCGGAGTACTTCCCCGCCAGTGTCAAGATGGCCCCCTCCTCGCCTGGCCGCCGGTGATACACTAACTCTCCTCCCAACACCAGCCGGCGTGTGAGGCTCTGCAGGAAGTGAGCGACCAGGATCACTGGGAGTGGGAGACACAGAGTGAGGCCTAGAGACAGCGCCCAGCCTGCCTCCCCGCAAGGACCGCCGGGCCTGCCCCGAGGTTCCTCTCTGATCCCTGAACTGGACAGATGGTGCAGAGGATTGCCAACGGCAGCAGGTAGGCAGCCCATACAAAGAACCCTGTCCCGCTCCTCACCCGATTCCCCAATCAAGTCAGGATTTCCGAGGGTCAGAGTCGCTGTGTAGTCATCTCCCCGGTACTCGCCGTCAAACTGCCAGGTCAGGAACTTGGACTGCTGCGTCTGGGATGGAGCGTGAGAAGTAAGAGCTCCCTCCCTCTCTGCCATCACTGTTGCCTCTGCTCCTCCCCCTGGGGCCCTGGAGCAGGACATGCATGGAGGAAAGAAACCCTCGGATGGAGGCAGGGGCATGAGTCACCTGGAAGACAGCCTTGGTGCGGAGCCGCTCGGCCAAGAGGAGCAGGACCTGGGCGTTGAGGCTGCCGCTGCTGTCCCAGTCACCTACCACAGTGGGGAAAACCTGTTGAAGAGCTGGACAGTCAGACCAAGCGGGGCTAGGGTTCCACTCAGCCTCAAGCCACAGACGAGGGGCTTCCTTGAACAGCACCCAGCGCCCCCTGGTGGGGCCACACAGGAAAAACTCCCCCTCCATCACACAGTGTCCCTCCTCGCTCCCATTCAGAAGAAACCCAGGGAAACAAGCAGGCGCCCTCCCCATAACATACACATTTCCTCCTGCCATAGGCGGGCTTTTAGAGAGATGGCCAGGTGTGTGGAGCCCTCACCTCAGTGGGGCTAAGTTGCCAGTCCCCTGCATAGGCCGCGTGGAGGTGGTAGCCAGGCAGGCCCAGCGAGCTCAGGTGCACAGTGTGA